ATGTAGTCTTATTGAGCAGTTACGTGGTTTGGTGATGCTGAATTCCATAATAGGCTATACTTCATCCCTTAATAGAGACCAGACATAGAAAAAATACTTCTTTCCTAATACAATATATTGAACAGTTTGCACATTCCTATCAAAACATTTCCAATCATTCAGCAATCCAATTTTCTGTGAGGTGCTATTTAATATTACATTAGCTTTTCTATTGCTCCAAAGAGTCAAAAGATGAAAAATCATAGCAATATCCTTAAGGCTTTGAGAAAACATAAAGCATTTTAATTCATGAATTAATTTCTACTAAAATCACTAGTACTTGCTCTTTAAGAAGTGTATGGAATATTGTGCTTATTATGATTTCAAAAAGCAGCTTCTAAAGAGCAATGAAAGTTTTCTTAAGATTTCTTTCTGTTCCCCATAGGTGTGAGACCCAAAAATAATAAATGGACTACAGAAGCTATAACAACCTTTCAGATGTATGCAACTGAGAAAAAACTGCATGCCAGAGTAATTTCTGTAATGAAGAATGGTGCTGAAGTGGAGCTTATTGATAATTCTAATAGTATTCCTATGATCGGTGAAATATTAATAAAGAAACACATGGCTTTTAAAGAAGACGTACTATTAAATCCAAATACATTACCAGGTGAGTTGATAACAAGTAATTTCCAAACTAATGTAGTATTACTGTTGTTTAGAATGGTATGACAATCCCTAAGATTTGCTTGTCTGAGAAAAATTGTGTTTCAAGTTTGGAAAAAAGCAGCCTTCTATAAAACATTTTGCCCATGTTTCATAACAAACATGGGAAGCAAGACTTAAGCATACTTTATGGGGTTTGCCAATAAAAATACCCATAGTTTTCCACTTCGGAGTTTGAAACCTTTATTGTAGCTACAATGCACATATCCTAAGCTCACTTTTGTGTTTGGCAACCTGCATGGGGGAAAATTAAACATGTACCACTCACAACATTCAAGGAAAGTACAACCCATGAACTTTTAACTTCCCCAAAGTGTAGGATTTAAAAACAATAAACTTACCTACCAAAATGACAGCAATATTTACATAATTAACTCTTCATTTCTACTATACCTTCATCACAATTTTCTCCAGCCACTGACAAGCAGGAATGCGCTTTCCTGTTCTTTCAAGCCAATTGCAGTATATCAGAATATGGAATAAAATGTCTACGTTTGCCCTAAATGAAGGCAAAAACTCAGAAATACAAAGTATTTCGTTCCAGACCTGGTACATTTTGCTTACCTTTTTTGTTGTCTTTTAAGACTAGATTATAATTATTGTAGCATGCTATCCTGAAGATACCAGATATCCTGAAGATACCAGATACCTTAGTACAGAATATCTTGTTTTGAAGATATGATGATGTTACATAATATTTTCATTGGATGTTGCTGCATAAAATATTGTATAATTTTTTTTGTTTTCATCTGATATTACAGTTACGTCTACCAGCATGCAGTGGACAATGCCAGCATTTTCCATTGGTGATACATTATCAGCTCTTGTATTAGATGTGGTAGATCCTGGGTTATTTTATGTTATACCAAAAGAATTGAAAGGTAAGAATCAAAGTATACTATGCCAACGAAAATGATATTTATTGACCCCCATTCACAAATATGTATTTATATAAATAAATTATAGCAAACCTCCAGCATGTTTTCTTTCTTTCTGTCTCTACCCTCTCTGAATATAGAGCTCCTGTTAGATAGTACGAGTGGGAAGATTATGAATTTATGCTCTCTGTAATACTAAATTGCACTAAATTTGGACACGGAGTAACTGACAGCATTATTTCAGGATGATTTGGAAACGGGGTGATTTTTAAGAATGTTCCTGTTCCATTCTTGCCTTCCCACCTCCCCAAAATGAAAAGCCAAGAAATTTAAAACTTCTCTTTTCAATGTTTCAATATCATCAGGCACTTTTTCTCTATAAGGTCAATCTTCCTTTGATTGATAGCCCCATAACACAATTGTACATTAATTAATAGATTGTTGTGAATCCTACAGTTTGAAATAAAATGAAATCCTGTTTTAATAAACTAAGTAGTGTAATAAACTATTTATGAGGAGGCATCTGTTATTGAGGATAATCAGGTGAACCAGAGAATATAGCATCATCACATTACATAAATTACATTTTTTTATCTATTGCATTTTTATGCATTCCATATGAAGCAGGGAAAATCTTAGCATTTTGTTTAATCATATTTTTAAATTATATCACTTCAGGAACATTGGAATATTTTAATTTCTTCTTATAGAAACAGGATTTTGAAAGTGTCAAAAAAAGGTACAAAATGATTATTGGAATCCATTGGAAAAGAGAAATATATTTCATTCTAAAAAATAATTTTGGTCCATTAAACATTTCATGCAGAGTATTGCTACATCACACGATTGTGTTTTCACATAGAACAAAATGGGGTTGTTTTGTTCCAGGTATGGAATTGCACTTCTCCAGAAGAGATTTAGGGTGAGGTATGGAGAAGGCAAAAACTAAAGATAACTGAAGGGAGGTTGGGAAAGGAAGGTGCTAAGCTATCACAGAAGAGTACAGGGAACATTTTCCCTAGTAGTGAAACCATTGTAGTAAGAGATTCCCAAGAGATGGTATCGATATCCAGGGACTTGAGAGATGCTTTCAGCGTGTTTTTGTATCGCTTCTTTTGTCCCCCGTGCGATCGCTTTCCTTGAGACAGCTCACCATAGAAGAGCTGTTTAGGGATGCGATGGTCTGGCATCCTTACAACGTGGCCTGCCCAGCGCATCTGGGCTTTCATCAACTGTAAACTGATGATAGGCCTGCTCTGGAGAGGACATCTGTATCTGGTATCTTATCCTGCCACCGGATCCTCAGAATTCTGCGAAGGCAAGTCATGTGGAAGTAATTCAGTTGCCTAACGTGCCTCCTGTACACTGTCCAGGTCTCACTAGCATACATTAGGGTAGTTAGCACTGCTGCCTGGTAAACTTTAAGCTTAGT